ACTTTTAAATACCAAAAAGTCTATTGAAAAAAATAACAAGAAGTTAATTGATAAAACTAATTTAAAAGATTCAAATATTAAGACTAAGGATTGAAATTAGTTTAATAAAGTTTAGATTACTCTTGAAAATCTAGAGTAAGATATTAAAAATGATTAATAGTAAAGTTTAAGTATATTTAAATAGAATTAATCTTTACTTTTAACATGTAAAATTAAATTATTAAAAAATGAACGCAAGTGAGAATATTACTAATATAACAGAAAAGAGATGTATTATGCTAAATGTATTTATTTTTGGTAAATGATTATATATTAACTTATAAAATACCTTATTTGTATTAGAAATATCATATTAAAATATGAAGTTTTCTTTAAAATAAAAATATTCTTCAAATAAAATTATATGTTTAGAAGTATAAGTAGATGTTACTCTATAGATATTAATAATATAGATGAATAAAATTATTTTATTAGGATTTGAATATTTATTCATTTCTAAATATTCATTTTAATACTGCAAGAAATTATTTGAAAAAACTTAGTTATATATATATAAAAGTAAAGAAGTAAATATATATAGATAAACATAAGAAAAAAAATATAATAACTTATTAGAAAATATTTTTAGAACAAATGAATAAACTTAAGATTAGGATACCAAATTTTTTCTAAAAATAATTTGAAAGAAGTAATGCAACCAGATGATAATATATAACCACTTATTTTTGTCATATATGATGAATGTATTTTTTAGCCTATGATAGAAGTTGAAGCCTTTAGATTTCAAATGGAGAATAACTCTTATGAAAAAAGATATAGGTACTCAATTCATATCAGTAAATTCTTGACTGATATTTGTGATCACCTTGCAATTCCTGATGAAATATAAATACTAGATGACTTTTTCAGAGATTATACATTCAGGAAAAAATAATAATAGATGGTGAAAGATCAAAAACTTAATATATTAAGTAATCAAATGTATTATACCCATACTTTCCAGAATATTAGGCTTTATTTGTATTTAATAATATATCAAGTCATGCTGCTTTTTACTTGATGCATTTATTGCTAAACACATAAATCTCAATCCTAGTTAAAAGTAGCCAAAGATGCATAACACATATTTTAATGAAGGGATTCAACAAGAAATGAATTTTTTGTTAGATTATCATATACCTTAATTGTGTAGACAACCAAAAGGATTAAAACAGATTTAATTGAAAGGGGATTGTTATTAAATGAAGGATTGAAATTGGAAGAAGCAAAATTAATGAGCCAGCAACTGGATTTTTAGCACAAAAGGGTTAAATAGAAGAAATTATTACTGCATTTAGACATCAAATTATATTTTACCTAAGTTTTATTGTGAGCTCAATTACATTGAAAACTTCTGGATGCAGTGAAAAAATTTAGCCAGCTATATTGTGATTATTCATAGACAGTAGAGGCCTGCAACAGGCTGGGTCCGGTGTGAGAACCCGGCCTAGACCCAGGTTCTGGGCCGAGTATGGGCTGGCAAATATAAGTTTAGAATTTTCCAGGTTGGGTCCAGGTTCAAGATACCAGCCTGGATTTTTTATAATTTTGGCAAAAATCATTATTTAATTAAAATTTAGCCGCCACTGATTGTATAATAAAATATTTTATTGTTGTTAATCAATTTCATTGTTTGTAAACAGGAGTAGCATTTTGATACTTCATTAATTTTTTTGTTCATTTATTATAATAATAATTTGTTAAAAAAATTGTTAAAAAAAATTACATATTGTTATTTTGTAATTTGTTAAATAAAAATAAAATGATTAAATTGTTAAATTTCGCATCGCCAATAATTATAATAAAGTCCGGGCTGGGCCGGCCTGGCATTTTAATACACAGGCTGGGCCGGGCTTCAAAATTTGGACTTATGCAGGTCTCTAATGGACAGGATTACAAAAAACTGTTCCATTGGCTCTTAATTCTGTTTCACTTACATCTATTTGCCGGTATGCAAGAAAAGCGTTTCGCTATATGGAAGTGTTTCGAAAAGGTTTGACAGGCCAGGCAGCAGAATTTGCAGCTAAAAAATACCGTTCACATCGTCAGGTTTCCGATTCAGTTTTACAATCAGTTGATATTAGCAAATTTTCATTTGCAAGCAACAAAGCAAAAAGGAAAAGAAAAATTAGGAAATTGTGAATTCCTTTAATACTGTAAAATAAAAAAAAAAAAAGTACTTAATAAATGTTGCTAAATTGAAATAAAATTTTCAGGTTGACTTTCGTAACAAGATAGGAGATAATTATGTTTCATTTTCCTTCGTGTATGTTTCCGATTTAATAAAGCTTAGTCAGTTTTATTATTTTACGATTATATTTTGTGTTTATCATTTATTTTAAATTAGTAGTAGTGATTTGAATTTTATTAAATTTATTTGTTGGAACTAAGTTGTATGCACTGTATAAAACTTTTTTTTTGTTAAAATTTGAAAAAAGTGACCCGGCCGGGTGACATGAACCGAAAAATCGAAGTTGCATGGCATGGCCTAAAAGATAAGAAACCTAGACCGAAAAAAACCGAAAATGCAACGCCGCGACGACTGTAAAATATAGCAATAAGATTTAAAGGATAGGTTAAAGGATAAAAGGAAAGTAAAAAAGAATCTTTCAATAAAATTTTGAAAGACGTCATTTTTTTTTTTTTTTTGCGTGCACATATATTTATAGCTGAAGTAGAGACGAATAAAGGGCAGTAATATTCTTTAATAGAAAGTATATTAGAAATATTACTCGTGATAATAATTTTCATTGGTTACAATTTTAAGTATAATTTTTAATTCCGGCTAAAATAATCGATTTTATACCTTATTTAAGAAATTACGATTGTTAATTTCAAATGCGAATCGCGGCTGAGGCTAAGGTGGGTTTAACGACTGATTGAGCTTAGTGAGTCGACTCCAGAATTACTGCGCTAAAAGGTTTATGAATCTAGAGAGAATCGTTTAATAGTAATGTATGGCTTATTAAAAAGTTTTTATTTAGCCAAATATTATATATTTAATTCTTTGCTTTAACAATTTTAAGCATGGTTTTTTTTAGCTTCTTTATATAAATAATTATTTTATCTTTTTTATGTTTATGATCTACTCATTTCTTTAAGCATCAAGTATAAACGGACTTAGATTTTAATGGACATAATTAAATGTTATTGTTATTAATAAAATAATTATTTGTTTGTACCTTTGAATTGTCTCACCAAACTTTAAAAGGTAAAATGATAGTGCTATATTTATCTTAAAGTTGATCATTATTTAACAAAGAAATTCGACCCTTTTTTAGAAAAAATCAAAAAACAGAAGAATGTCAATGTTAATGTCAATGCTCCCATATCTGGTAAATGTTAATGATGATGCATTACAAAAAATCTTAAAATAATATAAGCAAAATCATTTCCGAAATTAGTAAGATAAATGGAACTTTCCATACAAAAAAAAAAAAAATAAAAAAAAAAAAAAATCACCCTCTCCAACAAACATGACAGAAATTAAGACTGATATTCTTACAATATTAACTTTAAGTTATCAGGAATGTTATGACATTATCATTGATTCTCTAAAGAATGAATTACCCACGTTATATTCATGCATTCACGTCAATCGGTCATTTTGTCGAATCTTTATACCAATTCTGTGGAGTAATCCTTTCAGATTTATCAAAACGGACCAAAAATTAATTCAAATATTTAACACACTCATACATTGCCTTGACCCGTCTATTAAAATAAAAGAAATTCCTACATCAAAGGCGTTTTTTGATTATCACACCTTGATTAAAGAGTTTGAATTAAATCCTTTACAAAAAGGATTGAGACTTTGGACTTTAAAGTATTTATCAAAGCAAAAAGAAACATTTCTAATCTCATGCGATAAAAAAATACGTAAAAAAGTGGTCAAAATTAACAAATATATTGGAGAATTATTTTTCAGTAAAAGGAATCAATATGAATTCATCAATATTTATTATAATGATTTATTATTTGCACCAAAATCCTTATTAGACGTTTGCGGATTTAAGAATCATGAAGAAAGTTTGATCAAGGTTAATAAATTGTCAATAGGATTCTTTCATAAGAGCAATGCGAATTTAATTCCGGTTATTACCGAAAATTTTTCAAAGCTTCAAAAAATTCTGTCACCGAACATACAACATTTGCAAATCTCTATTGATACGACGAGGCAACACACAAAGTTATCCACCAACTTGATAAATTTTATTAAATCTCAACTTTGTTTAAAATCCTTAATTATGGGAGTCTTTTGGAACAGTTTACAAAACAAATCTTTTCTTTATGCCTTACAAAAACAATCAAAATCTTTGACCTTTTTAAGGTTGGGATGCGGTAATTTTCAGATATCCACTTCCATTTTATTATCCATATTAAGGCAATTGCCAAATTTAATCACCCTCGAATTCCGTCTCATTTCTATGCATTCCGATAAAGATGTTTCAAATGAGATTTCTGACCTTCAACCTTCTCTTTTTAAAAATTTAGAACACCTTTATTATGATTATTATCTCTATTATTATGCGTCAAAGAATCCGAGTGAACTTTTAAAGAAAATCCTTTTGTCAGCGAACAAAAATTTGAAATCCTTTATAGTTGATATCTCTTATTGCTCTTTTATTAAAGAAGTTCAACAACAATGTCATTTGAATATAACTCATTTCCATTTGATAATTAGTCGAAATTACTCATTCGTTGATTTAATTATTATATTGAAAAATTTACGATTGATTCATTTGAAAATTAATCAAACTTCTTCCAATCGAAATTATTTATCGGGCTGTGTTCATCTATATAAGGAATTCTCTCAAGCAATTTCCCCTACTTTAGAAATACTTGAGGTGGACTTTGTTGCATCGGATACGTTTTTGGAAACCTTACTTCATGAGACCAAAATTAATCTTCAATACATTAGGTTGTACCGTCATGAGTACAGGGACACCTCCTTAAGAATCTTTTACAATTACGCAAAAAGAAAAAAGTGTTTTAGAGAACTTGGATTGTCTCATATTTTACACTTTTCTACAAAACGCTTGAGGAAGGCGCAAAAACTATTTAGGGTAAGAGAATGCTCGGATGATGAAATTTTGAGCCCATTTTACGATGTACCAATCGCAAATTCTTACTGGAGCAACAGAGTTACAGAATAGTTTTTTTTTTTTTTTTGTTTTTGATTTTTATTTTTTCCTTCACCTTTTTTTTTTTTTTTTTTTTTTTTTTTTTTTAATATACCCTTTACATATTTATCTCCATAAAAATATAAGCTTCACCCTTCTGCATGTATTAGAATCATATTTTTACATCCACAAGTTTCCTTTTCTTTCCTTGGAATGAAATAAAATAAAATATCTTGAGATTTACTTATTAATCGAGAATCATATTTAATAAATGGTTCCGAAAGGATGTTATTGATTGAACAAGTCCTTCAAATCTGGGATGCAACATTTAACACGTTTCTTATTGCTTGAGGAATTCTACAAACTTTACATGAAACTGATGATGCACGAACTGAACTTCAAAGAGGTCCAAGAGGATCGGCAAGAGCATGGAAACTGTGGATTTACCTTAATTACTCGATGCTTATCTCGCGTACAAAAATTATCAACGGTTATGTTTATCCAATACTCATGTATAGCACCACAAATTATCGTAAATTCAACTTTTTTGTATGGATAATCCAACATTTACCATTCTTTAAAGTGTTCATTCCGTAATCACGTTATCCGGATATGACCAACTGATTACGATGTTCGATTTGACAAAATTATTGATCGGATATTCGGATATTCGGATATTACCTTTGATTGGATAATACTAATTTTTGAGTGACCATCAAACAAATCCGCAATTAACTAAAAAAAAAAAAATAGCTAATTTCAAAATTCACTGGACAACCGATAATACTGAATACATACATTTTAAAAAAGCTATACACGTTTATGATACAAAAAATTGTGCCCGCTACACTCGGAACACTGATCCGTTCGTAGTGATCTTCTGCAAATGATCAGCAATCCCGTGACTCTTGAAAACTCAAAATTAAACATTTAATGAAATTTTACAAAAGAGAAATCATCATTAGAAATGATAAATCGAATACAAAATTTTTGACCGATTCGGACCTCTAATTTAAAAATATTAACGATTACAGTAATCTGACAAAGTTCTAAGATAAATTCATGACATTGACGAAATGTCGATCTTAGATTACAATTTTCACTTTCCGTCACATATCATTTTTCGGCTAAGTTCATAAAGTGGAAAGAACTGTGAGATCTCGAATTCGCTCCACGTTTTGCAGCGTCCTTGTCGCATTGCTGCCCTAAATTGGAAACTTACGAAGAGGACTTTTCTAATCTATTTAATAATTGTACAAATCTTTATTCCTTCAGAATTTAATAGCCTCCTCACTTTTACGGATGCTTTAGAAACATTTATTTACAAGTGTGATGCAAGGTTGAGTGAGGAATTGTAAGATGACAAACTTATAATTCAACATTATATTATCAAGGGCGCGTGATTGATGGTTGTCTTTATATATACAGTATATATTTCTTTTGATTTGCTTCCATTGTTTGACATTGACAGACTAAGGATCTTTTTTAATTCCGAATTTTTTTATACATGAAATTTTGAAGAAATATTTGTTACACATCAAAAATAAATATCAAAAGAAATCTATTCTATGATGAAATTTTTTTAAAAAAAGTGAATTAATTAAATAAAAATACATTAAAAGACATTCTATTCTATATATGCTATGACTCTCGTTTATTTTCAATCTTTTCTAATTTTTCCATAATTTCTATAAACATTTCCTGCATGTTTGTTTGTAATTCAACTATTTTGGTATCGATCTTTTGATCCGTGTTGGCCAATCTATTATTTAAACTCTGTTGAAATTCTTTAAAGCTTTCATCCAAAGGTATAGTAATACCAAGCTCGTTCGGCATAGAAGGAGCAGAAGTTATTGATGAAGTATTGCACTTCTTATCCATTTCATATTTCAATAAAGAAAATTTGTCACTTGGATCCTCCTTAAATTTATACTTTTTATATGATGCCCTATTCTCATATCTTTGATACATGCACCCTCTAAAATCCTTCCTTCCCTCTGACCAATCCTCAAAACTTCTCGAATGTCCTACATAAAATATATATTCCGGATCTGGTTCCGGTGGCCAAAATCTTACATCCTCTAACGCTTCATAATCTGAGATGAGCGTTGCTCTGTACCTTAACAATGCATCTCTTCCTTTCTCTGCCGCTTCTCCATACACACCGCTATAAATATAAAAATATTTGTTATTAATATATTTTAAAAAAGGATGATTTTTCTAATTAATATTTAAATAAACAAATTGCGATTGATGGTGTGATGTCATTTACTTCATTTGCACCGAGTTTCATTTTTTCCTCTATCTTTGAAAAAAAACAAGAAAATTCAAATTACCTATGACGTCCGCAACTTTATAATCAGACACAATTACTATTTAAAAGAGGGCATCTACGCCAGTAATAACGTGATGTTTAAATTTAAAAATAACTTACCCCATAAAAGCAATCAGCATGTTTTGCAATACGGTAACCAATAAGAGACTTGCAAATAATGACAATATTTCAATGGCCCAATAATCAAAATCATCCTTCTGACTCCAATAACCATTAATCCAAAAATATGCCGCTTGAACCGATGATAAAAAACTTGCGAACGGATTATCATCACTTGACGTTGGATCAAAAATCGTTTCCATTTTTAACCCTGTCAGCGTATCGTCTGCATTTAATAAATTAAAATCTTCTAGTTTTGGTTTGATTACATTTATATCTGGATTTGATAATAATAAGAAAACTAAAATATAACAAAATGGTGTTAACTTTTTTTTTCCTTTTGTTTAAAAAAAAAGGTCTGGAAAATGATTAAAACGTAAACCCCTGGACTTACAGGCATGGGCAAAGGCCAATATTACAAAAAACATGAACAAAAGGAAGGGATATCTATGATGAAGAAAAGGTCTATTAGTATGAAGATTTAACTAACTTAACTAAAAACTTTAACTCACACTGTAGAGAATATTATTATAACAAAATAAATATATTTAGCCATTTCTAAAAAAAAAAAAAAAAAAAAAAAAAATTATTATTAAAAAGGTAATGAAAATATATAAACAATAACTATCTTACTTTATTAATGAAATTACATACCTGATAATAATCTTAAATATAAAAGCTGCAAAAAATGAAAAGATGTTAACGAACAAATATCTTATCTTAACAATAATAATTATTATTTAGATTTATTTTTTATTTTTACTCACCAATTCACACCAAAGTAATAACATTGTAAAGGAAATTCCGGTGACAACCCCAGTGCTGGTTTCAACTTCTACAAACCCATTCGGCTTCAATGAACTTGCAACGAAGATTGACATAACTATGCAAGGAGTAATAATTGAAATTATATCAAACATATTACTAACACTTAAAGATTCTCTAAAACCATGATGCAATGCCTGCAAAACTTCGACAGCTATTAAATAATAAGCCAAATAATAAAAACACGCTATTACAGCGATCAGTAACCCTTTAATATGTCCCGTAGTTTCGAGTTTTGACATATAAGCCCAACTTATTACACCAAAACAAATTGCGTATGCTATGAATGCAAGAAATATTTGTAAAAAGTAATTTCTTGCTGGCCGCCATCTAAAATCTATAATTGCTTCCATTGCAGGATTATCAAAAATATCATTGTCTTTTTCATACCTAACTACTTGAACAAATGGACTTAATAATCTTTTATCCTCTCTGCCTATTACATAACCTCTAGGAATAATTAATATTTTTAAAAGTCTTAATAAATTTGATTTCCAATCATAACTGACGCGAGCTTTTGGAATATTATGAACTGTAAAATTCGGCAACCTAAATTTATTCAAATGTACATTAATTTGAAAAGTATTTATAAGTTTAAAGAACTTTTTAAGATCACTCACGGAACGACCCTTAATGCTATAGGAGGAGGCGCAAGATCATTATCAAAGTTATCAACAAAATCTGTGTAATATCTTGGTAACTTAACAGTGATAAATTCAAATATGACTTGGAGTGTTGGCTTATGATTTTTATCTGAAACTAGTGTAGTATTCGGTTTAAAAGCTTTAAAATCTTGTATTTTATTTCTCCTTGGTTTGCTATGTTCAGGAATTATTTCGGAGGCATCATACTCTGTTCCAAGCTCCTTGTCAGCAAAGCATTCTTTATAAAATAATGCTTTTACATAGTAATCTAAAAATTTTTGTATTAATATTATCAATTATAAATTTACATTTACATTCAAATCATTTCATTATAATTTATAATCACAAACCTAAATTGTATCTATACAGTAACGGCAATGCTTTTGAAATTGTTATCATCCAGCCAATATGATGTAATGCATTTTCAGAATAATATTCTAGCAAATAACCGACCATAATTGCATCTTTTCTTTCTCTGCCTAACATAATACATAAGTTTTTATTAGAAATCGATACATAACAACATAAAAACAAAAATGAAATCTTTCCTTTTTAATTACCTTTACAGTATTCAATTGCCCATTCTAAATCAGTAGTTGGCATTCTTATCTTAGTCTTTGATTGCTCTTCGATTCCATTATTGTTCCTTTTCTTTTTACATTTTATCAACTTATAAAACCAAACAATTATTTCAGATAAAAATGAGATAAACCGATGATAAAAACCAGAAGATTTCTTATTATATTTGGGTTTATTTCCTTTGGGTGGTGAAATATCGCTAATCCATTCCTTGGACCTTGGAATATGTAATATATGCTTATATTTATGAGTACCATTTTTAACATCATCATCTTTCTTCAATTTCTTTGAATTCTTTTTCTCGGCTTTAAGCTCTTCTAACGTCATATCGCCAAAAAGAGCAGTCTTTACTAAGTAATAACAACCCCCTCGTATTAAACTGGACAACACGTTATATCGAACATCCATCATCTTAAAGATCTTTGGTTTTTTCTTTATGAATCTCCATACAATTCTACTTGTTTTTTCGACAATCTGTTCAAATTCTACCATTTTTTTGTAATCTATTATTTTGTTATTTCGTTTATTCAAATGCTCAAGGGTTTCGCAAGCATGTAAAACAGGAGTTACATGACCATCTTTGCAAGGAAACGAAAGTCTCTTATAATAGCTCGTCACTATTCCCCCCTCCCAATATTGCCAAGAAACCGTAAGAGAAAATGCATAATCGCCAACCCATAATTCTTGTAATTGTAACCTTGAATCTTCGGTATCATGCTCTGTTGGAATGTTATTTGCCCAAATATATTCAAGGACAGGTTCTTTCTTTGGTAGATTGAACCCCTCTTTTTTATCTTTTTTCTGTCTTGGTAAGTTTCGCCAAACTTGCACTGTGCTATGTCCAATTATAAGCTGTATCGTTTCATCCGCGTCAAGGTATGCTGAAATGCGACGATAGTTATTTATATCAACCCATGGTTCCTTATTGTCAACTATAGCTTTATGAACATCACTTGGCATCTTACGACGAAATATCTTGTGTAATTTTGTATCTTCTTCATGCTTAGAATATACGTATGGCATATTTTCTTCCTGATCTGGCGTAGTTTCGAATGCTTGAAATATAGTACAGCCGAACAAAATCGTTGCATCTGTTTCTACTCCATTTACAAGATTTACAAATCCGTCATGTTCAATAATCGAAAACAAGCTACCATCATCTTTCATACGATAAAGTTTACTAGGGATTCGTGCCATATGAGAATGATAATTGTCTTTTGATGGAAATAAATCACCCGACATTCCGGTACGAACAGCATCGTCCGATGAACTAAACAAATCCCATATTTTAACTTTTGTCACCCTATTAGGCTCGACATCGTTATAATATGAGCTTTTTTTCCTAGTTATCTTTGGTCTTTCATTATTAATGTCCTTTTCTATTTTTTCTTTCTCATTTTTCATCACATGTTTTTCCTCGGGAAATAACTTTTCTTTTTCAATCGGTATTTGTTGTTTACCTTTGTTATCTGAATCATCCACATCCTCTTCTACAATTACAGTTAACGCGATGGGATTCTCACCATTCGTGGCTTTGGATTCTTCTTTGACATCCAAAAATACTTCTTCTTCGGTAATGATAAGTAATTTCTCATCTTTATCAATAAATTCCAAAAAAAGAATTCGCGTCTCAATCCCAAGTTCTATTGTACCTATATCAAGGCCATTTTCGATCCAAAACAATGTTACAGATTTTTCGCCGTTACTACAAGCGACCAATTGTTTATTTTGTGAAACCGCGAATACGGATGATATATGACTTGCGGTATGTTGTACACTCTCCTCATGTCGATTTATAAAAATTTGCATTTGTTCCATCGTTGAAAGATTGTACATTTCTATCGTATGAACTCCGTCTTTATATTGGTCTACAAAGAAATAATGATGATAAATACATGACCACAGACGATCCAAACAATGTTTTGATTTATACCAAGCTTTTAATTCTTTTTCCAATCTTTTAGGAAAAGAAAATCTTTCTACACTGAATTTCGAATTAAAAGTGAGCTTTTCTCCGCGTTTTTCAAAATAATTAACCTTAAAAATTCCTTCAGCGTTAATTATGATGCAACTTGTTGCCAACATTTTAGTCAAATAATAATCCTGTTCAAAACTTTGAAAATCTTGAACGTCAGATCCTCCTTCCACAAACATTATAATTCCGCCAAGATTGTGACAAATGAATTCCTTAACAACACCAGGCTTTTGAATTAAATCGTGATTACATTTATCAAAAACGATCCGATATATTTCCGTTCTACCTTCGGCCTTGTCAAACTTGGGCACTACAATTTCTTCAAAATCGGGAGGATCATCGGATACACTTTCCGGAATCCTGTTGTTGAAATTTGCATATTCATCACTATTATATCTGTTTAAATTTGGATTAAGTATTCTAACTACTTCATCTTCTTCGGCTGTCCTTTTTTTCTTCATGTCTGTTTCAATAATAGCTGATACTGCGACAAATATCACGTGTTCACCTTGATGTTCCATTATATTTGATATTGATAGAGACCATGATGGAAATATTCTAGATAATTCTTCTTCATATTTTTCTTGGCTTTGTTTCATTGTTATATTTTCTAAACTAATTCCATTAGATTTCTCGTTTAAATAATTTGGAACATTCAAATAATTTTCTGATTTTGGAATGTTTAAATTTGGTTGTTGTTCAGAACTTGAAGTCTTTCTCAATTCTTCTCGTAATCTTCCAATTGACGCGTATTCATATAGTTCACTCGTGTCAATTTTATAAGGATTCAATTGATCATTTGATGCATTTAGATTCGGAATCTTTACGAATTTATACGTAGGGTCTACAATGTCATCCGAATAACTAATGCCCGTAATCGAATGGAAAATATTGAATTCGAGCTTTTCTAAAAAAAAAAAAAAAGTATTTAATATAATTAAAAAAAAAAAAATTAATAATAAAAATTATCAGATTAATATATCCTTACTATAATCAAAGGTACAAATATATTGACCATCAGGACTTATGGCAACATGAGAAGCGGATCTTTCTTTATTAACTTCGAATTCTAAATCTATAGGGGGTTGTTGTTCCTGCGTTCTTCTACTTTTAAATCCAAGAATATTACTAATAGCGGATTTAATGGAGCTTATTGAATTCCTTGAACTCCCATCATTTGACGATAGATTTGCAATCGATAGAAACGAATTAAAAGATCTTGGCTTTTTCCGTCTAGAAGATTCGATTTTCAAATCATCCATGAACAATTCTGTATTAGATAAGGGATTTGATTCTTGTGAACGTTGTTTCTTGAGAAATAAATTATTAGGAGGGACATTATCAAAGTTGGTGAAATCAAGAGAATACTTTTTGTCGTACATTTATTTTCTATAATTTTTTTTTTCTTTAAAAAAAAAAAAAAAAAAAAAGAAAAAAAAAAAATTTTTTTTAGGCAAATAAATTCAATAAAACCGGATTTATTTTATCACGCATGCATATGACACATGATGGAATAAAATTATGGCTAGATATCACCTTGGTGTAACCTTTTTTTTTTTTTGACATTTTCGAATATCAAAAAAATAATATACAGTAAATAAATAAATCACTTTCTTTGTTCTAAATCCGATACATATTGTAACTTGCCTTTTTTGCAGAATAATTATTAACTGTATTTTTCTTGGTTGCATTTATTGTCACGAAATTCAATGTTATCAACGTAAATGGTAACCTGTTGATCATTCATTTCCAGTTTCAAATGAATAAGAATAAAAAAAGAAAACAGGGATAACAAGGGAAATATAATTTATTACGGAACAAGAATGAATGAAAAAGGCTGGAAGATTATCGTCATTAAACGGTCATGCAAAAAAAAGAAATGATTAACGTGTCCCAAAGCGATTAATCTATTATTCGCGGAAAAAGGTTTTCTTAAAAAAGATGCATATTTGCTGACTAGGTTCTACCCAAAATCGGGATATGTTTGATGTACATTTGACACGTGTTCCCATTCTGTAAAAATAACGCCAAAAAACTATTATAATGGTTGTGCAAGATATCAAAAATGTCCACTTAAACATTTCTGACCCGTTCTAGAAAGGATGCACCCGATGACTGCGCCATTAATCACGTGTAGAATGTTATCGAAAAATAACTGCATTTAATTTATTTAATTTAAAGTTTAGAATTTTTTTTCAGTTTATGCAGCAAAACCTAATAAACTTTGTTGACGCGTATGACAGAAAAATGTTGTGTCGAAACTTTCGGTGCTTCTAGAATACATACGTTAACGTTAATAACAACGGAAAATTAAAAAATCTTAATTAAACGAGTGTTGACATTTAAAATAAAAATTTCCTATACATATATTCGGATGGATTGTAATACATCAATAATAGGTAATACTAAGTATTACTATTATTTCCTGCATGATCTCCGGAGAGAATCAAGGCTCCATCAAGCAAAGCCCGAAGGAATATCCCCCGGGCGCCACTAATATCTCTATCTATTTTTATTGTAGGACCAGTACGGTACGGTATGATGTCAAATTTCAACAAAAATACTGATCTGCATAATCGTACCGTACTGGTCAGGCGAATCGTACCGTACCGGTTTTCTATCTACCCGTTAAAGACATATCTTGGATTCAATTCTTCGAGAACTTAATAAATAATGGACTCTATTTTTATATCGGCCTATGCAAAAAGTAACTGTCGAGGTTTAATACAATTTTATTTTGCTTTCCTAAGGTCTTTTTTTTTCACTGACATACACTCTTTAAGCATAAATTGTATGTGAATTTTTTCTTGTGAAAAGTGTCAAGCTTCAAAACAAGTTTCGGAAAACATTTCTAAGGATGTGGTCAAGATCATACGGGTTTTTCACATTAAAATATTTATCGTGACGAATATTAATAATGAAACTTTATTTAAAAAAAAAAATCATGAATTTCAATATTTTTTGTGCAAATCATGATAAAAAAAGGTCGGAATTATTACTCATTTCAAGATTAATTTCCATAGTTGTAGGATTGCTAGTAGAAATAGAACTTGGCACGGATGTGGTAAGTTTATCATCTACATCTAATGCATCTGATGGTAAATTAATTGTTGGGATATTAGGGTTAGTTATCAGCGCATTATCCCCATTTTCCAAGCTAAAATTTTCCAAAGTCTCAACAACTTCTGTAATGTCAGGACGTTCTTCTGGATCACATTTCCAACATTTTGAATAAAGTTGAAAATATGGCTCAGGTGTACCATCTACCCTGTTTTCTCGATCTCCAACAGCAATTCTCATTATAACTTTATAATCATCAAGATTAGCGAATGGTACCCTTCTGCTTGATATTTCCCATAAAATCATTCCAAAACTAAAGATGTCGGATTTTTTGTTTCTTTTATAATCGATTTGTTTGACACATTGAGGATCCATATAAGCAGGCATTCCTCTGTGTTTAGAATTAGAAAATGATGCGGCTTCTTCTTTCGATAATCCAAAATCCGCGATTAACATTTTTCCTTGATGAATCAATATATTTTTAGAATGCTAATAATTTTTTTAATAATAAATGAGTGTTAATTAAGTTTAAATAAAATCTATATTTTGGAAGTTTATCATTTTTTTCTAACACTCCATTAATTAAAAACTTACCAAATCTCTTTGAACTATGCCCTCGGCATGCAAGCATAATAATCCTCTAGATATTTCAAGCGCAATACGGTAATTATCAGACCACGTTAATTCTATAGATTTATTTTTTAAATAATCTTGAAGATTCCCCCCATCAGCATATTGTAATACCATTGCATAATCAAATATATCACCTAATAATAGATTTAGAGTTAGAAGAAAGACACAATATATCTATTTAATTCACTTGCTTGAAATGTAAATAAGCGTTGAAAATAACCTCCTTTTGTAATGCCAATAAATTGATTTATATGAGGATGATAGAATATATTTCGAAGATTTGTGAGCTAGCATATTATAATAATAATAATAATAATAAAAAAAAAAATTAATAAATTTAGTTTAATAAATGATAATAAAAAATTATTTACTAAATAGTGTCGGATTTCATTTCTGAACTTACCTCTCTAATGAATTCTTTCCAAGGCGTTTTATCAGTTTCCTGATCGTTGGCATCCGATTTAAAAAATTTTAAAGCAACTATCATCCTACGACTTTTCCAACTTGCTTTATAAACAGAGCCACTCCCTCCTTCTCCGACGATATTCAAATCAGAAAATTCGGAATAAGCAATACATTTAATGTGATTTTCTTGTATTTGAGATTCTAACCAATTTTTATCTTTTTTATCTCTAGACATGGTGATAAATAAAAAGCTAGAATGTACACTTCGTGTTTTCTTAATTTATATTTTTGAGAAAAAACGGAACATCATTCCGGAAACGATTACTAAATATAACATTTTATTGTTTTTTAATTTAGCAATTTGTGAAACAGCTAAATTTGGTAAATTCTGCTTGCCATACATACACATGCTTTGAATAATACTTTTTTTGGTGTTTCATTTTTGAAACTGAAGCCGAATTAAGAAATAGGAAAGTTAATAATAGCTGCATATAATGTTTATTGGCTAAATGTATATTTCATGATGTAATGGATGTTCGGAAATGTCATGGAATCTTTCATGATTTTCGGTGACATCCATTTTTCATAGGAATAGATGATATGTCACAATAAATTTTGTCAAATTAAAGATTGCATATGAAACAAAGTTCGGGAATGATGAAAATCTTTTGTAGTTGAATTTCGACATTAATTCATAGGGTTGGTCCAAAAGACAGGTCTTTCATCTTTCATTTGACCGGACGATTTATAAGGCTGGTCAAGGATTGGTTTAGAACATATTCGAAAAAAGAATATTCACCACATTTCACCCGATATATTTAAATATTAAAATTGTATGAATTTAATTAAACATTTTGTTATCATAAATATAGAAGGCACAATAATAATAATTATTGCATACAAAACGATTACTGCGCCTTCTTAATCTCGTTATTTCTCCATTTCCGTCATTTCCGATATTTTCATTCCGGACATTATCATTTATGACAGGTCCAAGGATTGACTTATGGAACGATCCGGTCCATAATAGAGATGAAAACCGAACCGAATCAATGCAACTCTAAATTTGTATTATTTTATAATAAAAAGAATTTATTAGTATTTTATAAAACTATATGCTATAAATAATTCGGACCATCCCATTAACCAGTCTAAGACTAGCTTAATTTAAAAGAATCATTAATGAAAGAATGTTAACTTGTAGTAAAACTAAATTCTGGCCGGCACTATGAATTTGGCCCAAGTTAAAAAATATGGTCTGCATAACAAATTGTTAACACGTTCATTTTATTTTAATAATTTTTTTTTCAATCGCTTATTTACAAAGGATATCTTTCTCAAATTGCTTATTAATAAATTAAAGAAATTTTAATAAGATGTAATTTAATCCTTTAAGTATTTAATAATATATTACAGTCAACTCTTTCTAAATGCATTTCTTAGGATCCATAGTAAAATTTTAAAAAATGTGCATTTAAAGAGGGTGTACATTTAAAGAGAAAATTTCTATATTTCTATATGCTTGGGACTAGAGACCTGCATAAGTCCAAATTTTGAAGCCCGGCCTGGACCCAGCCCGTTGCAAGCCTCTACTTGAGACTGAACGAGAGTATGCATTTAGAGAGAAAATATATATTGTATGCATTTAAAAGGATGCATTTAGAAAGAGTTAACTGTAGTATATTTTGTAAATGAAACAAATTATAAAACCTTTACATTGAATAGAATTTTTGCAATAGAAAGATAATTACTGAAAAGTATCAAATTCATCCAATATGCTAATTATGATTTTAGGTTAATATATAAATTCTTTGCAACAAAATAATAAATAAAATATATTTTTATATACTAAATATAATTTTGTAATAAAATAAGTTCAGATTTATTCTTTAACTTTGTTTTTAAATATATATTTAATTATTAATAGTTTTTTTCTTATTTTTTATAATTTACATCATTATTTCTTCATTTAATTTATTTTCACATTTATTAAATTGAATATAAAAGCTTGTAAATTATTAAATTATAATTATTAATAATTATTTTTTTAAATCTATTTTAAAGTAATATATAATGAAGTTAATATAATTTTAATAAAATAATATAATTAACTTTTATAGTATTATTAAGATCATTCTATTCTTTTAAATATATTAAAAAAAAA